TAATATATATATATATATATATATATACATATATACGGTATATATTATATTATATATATATATATATATATATATATATATATATATATGTATATGTATATATATATATATATATATATATATATATTATATATATATATATATATATACATGTATATATATAATATAATATAGATATACACACATATGTACATATATATATGTACATACACATATGTATATGTATATGTATATATATATATATATATATATATATATATATATATATGTGTGTGTGTGTGTGTGTGTGTGTGTGTGTGTGTGTGTGTGTGTGTGTGTGTGTGTATCTACGGACAAAAAATCCACGATTCACTTGACACACTGACCCCTGTAACACCTTTTGGCACAGTTTCCAAAAATAGAATATATTCCACATACGGATTGCGACACACACACACACACACACATACACATCACATGCGATATACCACGACGAGATAAGTGACTAAAAAAAAACATATCAAAACCACACGAGAGTCAATCCACAAAATTTATTCGACGGATGTTATTATATAAAAAAAAAATTCAGATCAAGGCCAACTTTCACTCGACTTTCGTTAACTTTGCGTATCTCCGAAAAAAAATGGTGATAAAATGGTGAGCCTATGGGCGTAATAATAATAACAATAATAAAAAGAACTGTTACCATAATGATAACAGTAGCAAAAAGAACAACAGTAACAACAATAACAATAATAGTAGTAACAATTACATTAATAAAATAACAATAACAATAGTGATAATAATGGTATTACTCCTACTACTACTACTACTACAATAATAATGATGATAATGACAGTGATGATAATGATACGTTATCTTAATAATGATAAAAATTAACAAAAATGACCATCATCAAGATAATAATAACAATATTAACAACAACAGCAACACTAATGACAATAACAACAACAAGAAGAGTAATAAGAGCAACAAAAAGAGCAACAACAAAAATAACAATAACAAGAGTAACAACACCAACAATAATAACAACAGCAACAAGAAAGTAGCAACAACAGCAACAGCAATAATACAAACAACAACAAAAAAAGAACAGTAACACCACCACCAACAACACCAACAATAACATCAATCATAACCATAAAAAATCTGCCAAACATCCCCGATTAGAAGAGCATTCCCAGCGTTCCTCCGTGAGCGCATCCTTCCACAAATCTCTCTTGCGGAGTCCCAACGACAGATCAATCCTAATGTACGGAAGGAGGGTAAGAAAGGTGGGAAATGGGAGAAGGGAGGGAAGAAGGGAGGGAGGGAGGGAGGAAGGGAGGGAGAGAGGAAGGAAGGGAGGGAGGGAGGGAGGAAGGAAGGGAGGAAGGGAGGGAGGGGAGGAAGGAGCGAGGGAGAGAGGTACGGGGTTGCGAATGAAGGAAAACCAGAGAGGGATGAAAATAAGAGAGAGAGAGAGAGAGAGAGAGAGAGAGAGAGAGAGAGAGAGAGAGAGAGAGAGAGAGAGAGAGAGAGAGAGAGAGAGAGAGAGAGAGAGAGAGGGGGGGGGGAGGAGAAATAGGAGAAAGAGGAGGAGGAGGAGGAGGAGGAGAGGAGGAGGGAGGAGGAGGAGGAGGAGGAGGAGGAGGAGGAGGAGGGGGAGGAAGGAGGGAGAAGGAAGAAGAAAGAAAGGAAGGAAGGAAAGAGGGAGTGAGGGAGGGGAGAGGAGAGGAGAGGGAGAGGGGAGGAGGAGAGAGAGAGAGAGAGAGAGAGAGAGAGAAGAGAGAGAGAGAGAGAGAGAGAGAGAGAGAGAGAGAGAGAGAGAGAGAGAGAGAGAGAGAGAGAGAGCGAAAGAAGAGAAGAGAGCGAAGAAAGAGAAGAGAGAGCGAAGAAGAGAGAGAGACAAAAAATAAAAAAGAAAGACAGTGTAGAATCCAGTCAGATACAGACATATAAAGAACAAGAGAGCAACAGCAGACGAATCAGCAACAGCAATAGCAGCAGCAGTAGCGGCGACGGCGGCGGCGGTGCGGCAGTAGGGAACAGCTGATGTCGGTGACGTGACGTCATCAGAGGGCCAGGTATTGATTGGCGGCAACGGGGGGAGGGGAGGGGGGGAGGGGTCAGGGAAGAGGAGATAGAAAGAGGAGAGGGGAGATAAGAGAGAGGGATGAGGGGGGGGAGAGAGGGAGGCGAGAAAAGGGAGAGGGAGAAGGGAGAAGCCACTGGGTCACTCCTCGCACCTCCGCCACCTGCTCCTCCGCCTCCGCCGGGAGGTCTGTGACGTAAGCGCGATGACCTTTGGATCTCTGCGACTCTGCTGAGTGGGACGTTTTTTTTCTACGGGAGGAGGGGGAGGGGAGGGGGGAGGAAAGGGAGAAGGGATAGAGGGAGGAAAGGAAGGAGGGGGTGGGGAGGGGGAAAAGGGGGAGGGGGAAGAGAAGAGAAAAGGGAGGAAGGGAGAGAGGGGGAGAGGGAGGAGAGGGTGGAAAGGGAGGGGGAAAGAGAAGAGAAAAGGGAGAAGGGAAGAGGGGGAGAGGGAGAAAGAGAGAGGGGAAAGAGAAGAGAAAAGGGAGGAGGGAGAGAGGGAAAGAGGGAGGAAGAGAGAGGGGGAAAAGGAGGAAAGGGAGAAGGGGAAGAGGGAGGAAAGGAAGGAGGGGGAGAGGGAGGAAAGGGGAAAGGGGAAGGGGGTAGTTAGAAAAAGATGAGGGGGATAGGCAGGAAGGGAAAAAGGGGAGGGGATGCGGGACTAGAAAGAAAGCAGGTGAGGGAGGAAAGAGGGAGGGAGAGCGGGAGAAAAGGGGAAGCGGAAGAGGGAAGAGGAGGAAAGGGGAGGAGAAAGTGAGGGAAGTGGAAATAGAGGAAGGAGAGAAGAGGAAAGATAATAAGAGAGGGAGAAGGAAAGGGAGGAAAGGAAGAAGGAGAAAGGATGAAAGGAAGGGAGGGGGGATGGAGAGGGGAGGAGGAGAAAAAAAAGAAGAAAGAGAGGAGGAGAAAAGCACAGACGGAAGCACGATACACGAAAGTGATGACGATAAACAATACCGCAGAATTATATTTGGCATCAAAAAAAAAAAAAAAAAAAAAAAAAAAAAAAAACGTTTAAAAACATCTAAAAAATAGGCTTCTGCTTGATCCTAAGGTTTCCCGCCAAATTGCCAACGCTGTTTGCTAAAACGTTTTTTTCTTTTAATTCTTCTTTTTTTCGCCTCGCTCGTGTCTTTTCCAATTCACTTAGCGAGCGACTTGAGTGAGTTTATTTTACAGCTTAAAGTCCGTGAGAAAATGACGACTCGGGCCGAGGGCGCACGCGGCGCTTGGGAGATCTTGTGCGTGCGTGTGTGTGTGTGTGTTAGTGTGTGTGTGAGAGAGAGAGTGTGTGTGTGTGCGTGTTGTGTGTGTTAGTGTGTGAGAGAGAGAGAGAGAGAGAGAGAGAGAGTGTGTGTGTGTGTGTGTGTGTGTGTGTGTGTGTGTGTGTGTGTGTGTGGTGTGTGTGTGTGTGTGTGTGTGTGTGTGTGTGTGTGTTGTGTGTGCGTGCATGTCCGTGCGCGCGTGCGTGTGCGTGTGCGTCTTGTCTGGTTCATTCGTGCGTGCACGAACGCACGAATGAACCGGACAAGACAGAAAACCCGAGAGAAATAGAGACAGACACCCACAGCCACAGACAAAAAAATCCAATCTCCCTAAAGGAGCCGCGGAAATCACCGCACGAGGCACAGGGCGGCGAGGGAGGGAGGCGATGACCGTCCTTTTGGGGCTTCGGCGAAGGTCAATTGGCGGGGCAAGCACTAACGCGGCGACCGGAAGGAAAAGGGAGAGAAGGAGAGACGGAGAAAAGGGAGAAGAAAATGGACAGAAGGGAAGCAAAAAAAGAAAGAAAAAATGAGAAGGAGACGAAAAGGAGAGAAAATAGAAGGAAAAATGAGAAAAATAGAAGGAAAAAGAGAGATAAAAGAATGAGAAATGGAAAAAGAGAAAAGGGAGAGTAAGAGAGAAGGGAGAGTAGGCGAAAGGGGAAACAGAGGGAAAAAGGGAGAAAGAGATAGAAAAATTACAAAAAGAGAAGGAAAAGGGAGAGACAGAAAGACAATCGGGAGAAAAGAAGTTGGAGAAGGAGAACGAGGGAGAAAAAAAGAATAAGAACGGATAAAGAACATGGAAAAAGAGAAATCAAAGGGATTAAGGGAGACAAAAAGACTAAGAATAGTAGAAGGGAAGAAAAGAAACAAAAACTAGAAAAATGAAAACAAGACAAAAAAAAAAAAAAAAAAAAAAAAATCCCGTAATCTTAATAATTAAATAAATTAATATAAAACAAACAAATAAAGTGAGCCAACATATGCGAACTGTCGCTACGTAAAAAGAGGAAGAAAACACAAGAAATGAAGCCCTAAATACACAAGAAGCAGAAAACGAGCTTTAAAAATAGAAAAAAGAGAAACAGAGGAACGAATAAAGAATGAAAAAAGGAACAAATTTCAGATGTGAAGATTAGACAATAAATAAATAGATAGATAGATGATAAATAAGTAAATAAATAAGTAAATACTACTACTACTAATGATAGTGATAGCAATATACAATAACGGTCATGATGAATATATCAATAATGTTACTGCTACTGCTGGTGGTGCTACTACTACTACTACTACTACTACTACTACTACTACTACTACTACTACTACTACTACTACTAACAACAACAACAATGCCAATAATAACCAAAATAATAATAATAATAGCAATAGTAATAAAAATAACAACAATAACATGATGATCAGAACAAACAATAACAAAAAACATCCTGAACAATGAACTCCCTAAGCACCAAAAACGACCAACCAATCTTTGAAAAAACACCGAAAAAAAACAAAAACAAAAAACAACCACACTCTCAACAATTGTATTTTTCGTGGATTTAGCATATGCAGTAAGGTGCAAGAATATGCTAGGACTCGCTTGATGCCAACTGGCCGACTTGCCAACATTTTTCGAGGATTTACAGCATTGCTTACGAGAAATCAACGTTGGGGAGGAAAGCCACTGCACTCGGAAGGCTGAGACGACGCAAAATCTGCATAATTGGGCGGCTCTGTCTGGAAGACGGGATTATTCAATAATAATCATAATCACAATAATAGTAATAGTAATAACTACAACAATAATAATAATATAATAATAATAATAATAATAATAATAATAATAATAATAATAATAATAATAATAATAATAATAATAATAATAGTACTGTAATAATAATAATAATAATAATAATAATAATAATAATAATAATAATAATAATAATAATAATAATAATAATAATAATAATAATAATAATCATAATGATAATAATAATAACGGGAAAACTGGTTTGATTCATAAATAATAATAACAATAACGGAGAAACGGGTTAATTCATAATAATAATAATAATAACGGGGAATGGGATTAATGCAAAAGGTCGAGTGGACTGGGTGATTTTGGAAGCAATTTCTAGATCAGAGTATGGAGGCACGGTAATGAAATCGGCCGGAAGCTCACAGGCAAGTATTTGCAATTATAATTTCAATTAACGGTGTTGCATTGCGTACCATAGACCCGCGTTCTCTCTTTTTTTTCTCTCTCTCTCTTGGAACTCTCAATTTTCTGTCTCTCTCTCTCTGTCTCTCTTTCTTTCTTTTTCAATCCCCCTTTCTCATCCCTTCTTCCTAATTCCCAATCTTTCCCTCACTCACAATCCTCCTCCCTCGTTCTTCCCCCTTCACAAGAACCCTCTTCTTTATCTACTTCCCTTCTTCCTTCCTTCTCTCTCCCTCTCCATCTCCCTCCGTCAGTTTTCCCTAACCCACTTCCTCTTCCCCTCCCTTCTTCTCCTTCTCCTCCCTCTTCCTTTCCCTCCAAACCTCCTCACAACCACCAAAGCTTTAGAAATTTATTCCACATTTCAAAACAAACCAAACATCCACAAAAAGGGAAAACACAAATAACCGTTAACGGACGCACAGTTTGAATTTGAAATAATCCAACGACACGAGAGGCGCAACATAAATCAACTGTCCTCTAAATTAACTGCGATTTTCCTGGTCATTGTCGAAAAGCTCTCTCTCCATCACACAGATTTGATTGCGAGAGCTAATCAGCCCTTGCATATTCAATGACGGTTTGACGAGTTAAATTATTAATAATTAGCATTGCGAACCAGCCATGCTAACACACCCTCGTCCATACCCGTTCGTGTAAACACAGCAGAGTATGCGGAATATTTTCTATCTCTATAGTATTGTATATGTATGTAAACATTTACATACATACATACATACAAACACACAAACATTTATATAAATATATACATACACACACATTTATACAAATATATACATTATATACATATATTATATATATATATATATATATATATATATATATATATATATATATATATAACATCTATATATATATATATATATATATATATAATATGAGATATGATAAGTAGAATGAAGAGAGAGAGAGAAGGAAACGACACAAAAAAACGAGACTTGGAATCAGGCAAAGTCCACTCAATGGCCCAAACGAGGCAAGAGATGCACCGTCACGTTAATTTCTGATCGGGATTCGAGTCTAGATCGTATGACCCCCCTCCCTCCCTCCTCCTACCACCCCTGTCTCCTAATGTTTTTCTTTTTCTTTTTCTTCTCTTTTCTGCTTTATCTAATCCTTTATTTAATCTTTCCCTCTGGTTTAGTTTGCCTGTTTTTGTCTCTCTCGTTATTTTCTCCTTCATGTTTCTCCTTTCTTCATTTCTCTCTCTTCTTCATTTCCACCCTTCTCTGCTTCTCTTATTTTCTCCCATTTTTCTTCCTCTTTCGCTTATCTGTTCTCTCCCCTCCCCCTACATCCCTGTCTGTCTGTCAGTGTTTGTCTATCTGTCCCCACTCTCTCTCTCTCTCTCTCTCTCTCTTCTTCTACTTCTATTTCTACTTCTCCCTCTCTCTCTCCCTCCCTCCCTCTCATTTTCTTCCCTTCCTCTTCCTCTTCCTCCATCTCTTCCTCATTCCCCCCGGACTGTCTGGCGCACCTGCCACTCCACACTCGCCCTGACGTGTGCTTGCGATACGCTTGCTTGCTGACTCGGATGTGATTAGAGAGAGGTAATCGTACAAGCAACTACTGCGTCTCTCTTGCTTGCTTGCTTGCTTTGTTTCTTTTTTTTCGTTTGCATCTCGTTTCTCGTCTTCAGTTTTTTGTTTGTTTGTTTGTTTCTTAGATTTTTTTTGTCTGACTCTTTTCCTTTCTCGAACTGTGTCTTTCCTTCTTTCTTTCTCTTTATCTCTTTCTCGTCGTGTGTCTTCCTTCCTTATTCTATCTTTCCCTGTCTCTGCTCCTGTCTTCAGGAGCAGATAACGAACGCAAATGAAAATCAGAAAGAAAAGTGCAAGGCGAAAGGTGAAAAGAGGAAAGACAACAAAACCACGAACAACAGAAGTAAAGAAAACGAGAGAAACAGCACGACCGGGCGTCAAGTAATAGCTGTCACAGTTGACACCCGATCGAGAACCCATGAATGCTCCTCCTCGCTTCCTCACTCTCCCCTCTCTCTCTACTTTCCCCTCTCCTTTACTCTCTCCCCTCTCCTCTATTCACTCTCCCTCTCTTTTATTCACTCTTCCCTCAACTCTGCGCACATCTCCCTTTCCCCTCTCCTCTCCTCACTCTCCCTCTCTTCTACATTTCTCCCCTTTCCCCTCTCCCTCCCCTCACTCGCCCCCGCCCGCACTCTCCCCTCTTCCTCTCCTCCGCTCTCCTTATCCCGATCTTCTCCCCTCCTCCTTTTGTCCTCCCCACCTTCTGCCCCCTACACCTCTGCTACCTGAAAAGTAAGGGGAGGGGAAGGGGAAGGGGGAAGGAGGGAATAAGGTAGGAGGGAGGGTGGGAAGGAAGAAGGGGAGGAAGGAAGTATTGGGAAGGGCGTGGAGAGGGAAGAGAAGGGACAGGAAATGGGAAGGAGGGAGGGTGGATAGAGAAGGAGAAGGAGAAGGGGAGGGGAGGGGAGAGGAGGGGGGAGGGGGAGGGGAGTGAGAAAGAGAAAGAATCAACAAAAACAGCTTATCTCTTAATCTCTTCCTTTATCATCCTCCCCCTCTCTCCTCTCTCTGTCTCTGTCCTGTCTGGTCTGTTCTGTCTGTCTGTCTGTCTTCTGTCTGTCTGTCTGTCTCTCTCTCTCTCTCCCCTCTCCCTCCAACGCACACAGACAAACGGACACACACAACCGCACGCACACACACATCTCCCAGTGCTTAAACTCCCGAAAAATCCAAACAAAGCGTGGCACAGTGCCCGTCCCAGAAACAGATGCCCCGAAAAGTGCCAAGTTTTCTGAAGCCACCTGTTGGCACCCTTGTCTTGTGACCCTCTCATCTTGCCTTTCTCGTCCTCCATCCTCCCCTAATCACTCTTTCATATTCTCTCTCTCTCTCTTCTCATTCTCCCCCCCCCCTCTCTCCTCTCCTCTCCTCCCCTCTCTCATCATTCTCATATTCTCACTATTTTTTCATTTTGTCAATTTCCTCCAATACTCTTTTCCCTCCTTTCCCTCTCTTCCTCCCCACCTTTCTCTATCCCCCCTTCCATTCTCATTCTTATTCTCGAAACAGCATCAAACCCCCTTGCAAGAAAAAAAATAAAATAAAAACATCAATCACCAAAAAACACTAACAACAAACAACAAAACATGATTAGAAAACCGCAAGAATAAAAAGCAAAGAAAAACGAAACCAGTAAATGTTTTAAATTCCAAAGGGTACTCCACCACCAGCCCCCACCCCCATCCCTACCCTCCAAATCCCTTTATGTGGCATTTTTCTTTTCTTTTCTTTTCTTTACATTTCTATTTTCATCCGCATTATGTGTGCTTCATTATAATTTTTCATTTTTGTTTTAGTTCTTTCAGTTCATTATCTAAATGGAGAGAGAGAGAGAGAGAGAGAGAGAGAGAGAGAGAGAGAGAGAGAGAGAGAGGAGAGAGAGAGAGAGAGAGAGAGAGAGAGAGAGAGAGAGAGAGAGAGGGAGGGAGGGAGAGAGAGAGGAGAGAGAGAGAGAGTGAGAGAGGGAGGGGAGAGAGAGAGGAGAGGGAGAGAGGAGAGAGAGAGAGAGAGAGCGGAGAGAGAGAGAGAGAGGGAGAGAGAGGGAAGGAAAGGAAGGAAGGGAGGGGAGAAGGAGGGAGGGAGGGAAGGAAGGGAGGGAAGGAGAGGGAGGGAAGGAGGGAGGGAGGGAGAGAGAGAGAGGAGAGAGAGAGAGAGAGGAGAGAGAGAGGAGAGAGAGAGAGAGAGAAGAGAGAGGAGAGAGAGAGAGAGAGAGAGAGAGAGGGAGCGAGAGAGAGAGAGAGAGAGAGAGGAGAGAGAGAGAGTAGAGAGAGAGAGAGAGAGAGAGAGAGAGAGAGAGAGAGAGAGAGAGAGAGAGAGAGACGAGAGAGGGAGAGAGAGGAGAGAGAGAGAGAAGAGGAGAGAGAGAGAGAGAGAGAGGAAGAGAGAGAGAGAGGAACGAGAGAGAGAGAGAGGGAGAGAGAGGAGAGAGAGAGAGAAGAGGGAGAGAGAGATAGAGGGGAAGAGGGAGAGAGAGAGAGAGAGGGAAGAGGGAGAGAGAGAGAGGAGGGAGGGAGGGTGAGAGAGAGAGAGGAGGGTGAGAGAGATAGAGAGGAGGGAGAGAGGGGGCAGAGAGAGAAAGAGAGATTCTTTATATCACTACATTTTTTTATGATGATTATTTTCTCTCTCTCGGGTTTCATTAACACAACTGCAAATGCATAATAAAAAAAAAAAAAAAAAAAAGCCTATATATTCCCATGACTAATATCGATTACCTGCATCTCATCTATCAAAACAAAACAACTCTGAAACCTATTCTAACTCTTTTTACGGTTTCTATCCGGAAAATTGAAGTAGGAGACGCAGTAATAAACGGATTGACAGATAAACGGGCAACGAGAAAACGAATAAACGGGTGAACCTTTGAACAGAGGAACAGGTGTGAACAAAATGAATGTAGATATACACGTCGACATACACACAGTGAGAAACAATGTACAGGCTATATATAA